GTCGCCCACCTTCTCCCCACTGTGCTTGGCATCCTGCTGGCCCCAGCCCCCGCGCTCGGAAGGATCACGCGCTGAGGATGAGCTCATTACGAACGGTCTGCAGAAGGAGGAGGCGCCGAATTGCTCATCCTCAGCATGGTGAGGGCTTCCCATCCCGGCGAGGTTCGGCGCCAGCTCTATTTCTGCACCACGATCCAGCCCACCGTGTTTAGAAACACGGCTTTCTCCTGGGGGTCCCCCCCCGGGATTTTCGGCAAGGGTTGAGTTTTAGTGAAACCGCCTCCAATTACCGTAAGCGATTGCACAACCCAGTTGTGCAATAAAAGAACAACAACAACCCCCCAAAAAAAAAAAATGGCAAAAGTTAAGCACTTTTTGGAAGAGGACTGAGTCATGGCCATCCGCCAGGTTTGTTTTCCAGGGATCAAATGGTGCTGAAGAGAAACATCTGAGCAACACACAGCCCACGACCGAAAATACTTCCGATCCACCCCTCGCTCACTCCAGCGAGCAACTGCAGAGCGATGGGGGTGATCATCTTACCACCACCAAATACCAAATGGTGCAGCTGCAGGCATCACCTCAGCCCAGGCTCCAGCTTTAGAAGAGAAAGGCTGAGGGACTTGGGGCTGTTCAGTCTGGAGAAGAGAAGACTGAGGGGGGATCGCATCAACGCTGATCAATCCTTCGAGGGAGGGTGCCGGGGGGATGGGAACAGTCTGTTTCCAGTGGTGCCCAGTGACAGGACAAGAGGGAACGGGCACAAACGTGACCATGGGCAGTTCCATCTCAGCCTGAGGAGGGCCTTCTCTGCTGTGAGGGCGGCAGAGCAGTGGCACAGGCTGCCCAGAGAGGTGGGGGAGTCTCCCCCTCTGGAGCCATCCCAAACCCGCCTGGACGCCGTCCTGTGCCACTGCTGGAGGTGCCCCTGCTCTGGCAGGGGGTGGGATGGGGGAGCTCCAGAGGGCCCTTCCTACCCCACCAGTCTGGGATTCTGAAGAATAAACCTCTGGTCCCTCCTCTTGCTCAGAGGTTTCAGCCACCATTGGCCAAAGCCGTCACAAAATGTTTCATGTGAACAACAAAATCAGCAATTCTGCACTGAAGGAAATGGCCGAACTAGCAGCAGGAAGGGAACAACAAATACGGGTAAGGTTTGTGGTTTTAGACAGAACTACTGACTTATAAATCAAGACATCTCCATCTTCTATCCACTTAGAGCAACGTAGAGGAGGACTGAGCTGGTGGAGGGTAGTGATCAACTAGGGATCAGCGTTGTTTAACTGAAAAAGGATCTTTATCTCCTTCCTGTAGGAGTCTAAGTATGGTTTAATTAAACCGAGTACCTTTAGCAGTACCTTCCTAATCCACAGTTTGACTTGTGACCACACCACACTTCGGTTATTACGCAGGAGCAACATGAAACCAAGCCTGCACATACAAAACGGGCCCGAAACTCCCTACAAACTTTGGTGGATCTCAAAAGCAAATCTGGAATCACCAGGAAGACATTATTTCCAGTGAGGCTTCGAAGAGGTTATTTATTTCTCCAAACCTACTTCACCATCTTACCAACACCCAGAAAACAGCCGATCAGAGGACTGAAAAGTATAATCAAGACCTACAAAACCTGGGAGAGGGGTAAAACAGTGAAGAACACACATGACCTAATTGCTCTCCAAGTGTGAGCAAAAATCAGCTGTGCCACAGCCGGACGCCAGTAAGACCACTGAGCACTCAGTGAGGGGAACTGGTGATGTGGGGCCAGCAGGGTTACGGTGAAGCTTAGGATGAACAGGAAAGCCCTACTAGTAGAAATGCTACGTGGCCCATCTGCTCCTCCAGCATTTGTAATCCTGACAGAGATGCCAAAACCCTAAAAGAGTGCCGAGAGGAACCACACCACTGGTTAAATACGAACTGGAAAATCTCCTCGAGAGCAAGAGATTCAAAGCCATTGAAGGAGGATTCGAACTGTCCGGTTCTTGGCGACTTAATTCCAGACTTCTGAATTTAACTATACCTTGTAGGTCCCTAACCAAAAGCACGTCAATCTGACACAGGTATTCACTAGACGGAAAGACCAGAGGCTGAAACAAGACAAGTTCAGACTGCAAGAGCAGGCAGCTTTTTAGGTATACAGATAATTAACCCCTGGCCAAATGCATCCCGCTGCAGTGGCCTCACTAGGAGTTCCTATGCCCCAGCTCCACACGGCCAGAGGTCACCTCCAGCTCCAAGAGGAGCTGCTACAGGGCTGGAGTTTCAAGGACCTGAGGGGATGGGGGTCCCCAGGAACTCAGGAGCTGCCAGAAAGGCACTGCAGCAGGGAGTGACACTGCAGACCCAGCCCAGCACCCTCCCACCGATCCGAGCCACCTTCTAGCACAGCGAGTCATTCACTCGCATCATTACAGCATCTACACACCCAGGGAAGAAAATCTGGCTTGATTATCTTCAGAGACAGAAAAGGATGATCAGCTCAGCACAGGATGGTCAAAAGCATTAGCGAGATAAGCAACTGTGTGACTTCACACACAGAGTGACCACGCATGCTTCAACAGACCCCCAAACCCGAAACGTGGAAGCTCCCTTGCCTTGACTTTACAAGTTTCAAGGAGAAAACCTTGTAAAGGCACTGAGGACCAACCTGGCTTCACTCAGCACCACGTTCTCTACATCCAAATGGGAGCCTGACCCACCTAACAGAACTGTTGGGACAACTCTTCCAAGAGGAGCCATCGCAACCACAATGGCCCAATGGTGACAGAAATCAGGCACATCACCTGGGCAGCAAAGTCTGCCATTGCTGAACTCTCAGTGGCCAGCGAGGAACAGTTCTTACAACACACGAAACATCTTAAAAAGCAGCATTCAATGCTTCCGAGGCGAAGCAAACCAAACTTCACTTGTTCGCTTGCTCTGGTCTCCCCTGTCTCTATCATTTTTGGGAAACATCTCAGCAATCCATGCTACATACTTACATATAATTCCCTAAAACCCACCCAAAAGGCAAGGGCAAGATTCAAATCACATCCCAATGCCAAGCTACGCCTGGCCTGAAGCTCAGTGCAATTAAGCCCAAAACACATGAGTATTAATGAACTAACGCACAAAGGCCATTTCCACTACAAGTCAATTACTTTTTTTTTTTTAATTCAAAGAAAAACTGGTATTTTAATAAATACTGCAGAAACATTAACCAAACATACAAAGTGACTTCAACAATTAAAAAAAGTAATGAATGTCCTGTTTTATAACAGTTATAACTTATTTTTTCCACAATATTTAAATACAGAAAGCACTTACCAGCTATTTTGTAATACTGCCCTAAGCGCACTGTTGCATCAGTCAAAAGCTTATTATGGTGGTAAAAATGTCTTTTTGTGGGAAATAATCGGAATGGGTGAGTTTGTGGGTTTGGGTTTGTTTGTTTTTTGTTTTTTTTTAATCAGATGAAACAAAGTGCCGGGAACACAGAGAACTGAGTTTTAATAATGGTAACCCTTTACCTTGGCACAAGTCAACAGGAACACAGCTTTAACACTTCAAAAATGAAGCATTACCCTTGGGAACAAAACGCTTGCGCTCAACAAGCGATAGCCGCACTGGTTAGAGCTTACAGCATCCTTCTTTTGAGAGAAGCTATGGAGTTAAGTCGGTCAGTAAACAGTTACAAACATTTTTTAGAGGCCGATTTATTTAACGTAACAATAGTATTCAGTAAGCAAAAAGGAATTCGATTTAACTGGTTCACTGATGTTTCATGATTGCTGTCTGGATACGTATATATTAGTCTTAAAGACTAAGGGCAGTATCCAGTTTCCACTGGGGACCCCTTAAGGCGTCAGTTCTTCAGACCCCATTTCCTCACCACGAGAAACGAAGTCTGCAGCGAGAGACGGCGGCCCCAAAAATACAAGCATCACAAAACGTATTTTGGCTCTGCTGCTGGCTCATTTGCAGATTCTTGGGGTTTTTGCAAAGATGATTGCAGAGAACCACATCACAGAATAGCACTTCTCCGTAGCATTTACAGAGGGATAGATCCTGGGATCCACCCGGCTCTCCAACTCCCAGCAGAAGTGGAGGAGTCTCAGGGCTTCCCCAGATGGGCAGTAAGGCTTAACGAATTATCATGGTTGTAAAACCAAGGATGGTTTGTCATCATAGCTCTTAGCACCTTTCACTTGAACCTAGAGCGACACACCCATACAGTTCACCAGAACTGGAGATCATTTCCACTCTAAATTACAATCACAAAGAGGAATGGAAAGTCAGAGTCCTGCAAGGGGCAGGCAGTTTGCCCCCACACCCCAATTGGATCCATTTAATTTCCGCAGTGCCAGGGCACCTATAATACTGGGAAATCTCAAATGGTTGTCTTCATTACCAACACGCTCAAGTGTAGACAGCGCTGCCATCTTGGGAAGGCAAAACTCCAGACTTCTCACGTACAGTGTTTTCCTCTAGGTGACGCACAGGCCTCGGTACACTCTCCATTTTAACGATGAGCTACTTAAAAATTAGATCATATCCTTTGGAAAACCAACTATAAGGTCACGGGGATAGTTCCTCAATGAGGAGGGCATATTAATAATGTCATCTTTAAAAAAACACATTAAAGTATTATTTTAATGAAATCAAAAGTGGTAGCATCCAGGAGTAGAGCGTTAATAAAAGAAACAAGCACTGTCAATGACATCTCTCTTCTTTGCAGTGTTATTTTCCCATTCACCCTCTCTTTTCTCAGCACACTCAAACATTTTTCCCTTTTTGTTTTTGGCATTTTCTTCAACAGATCATTTCCTGATGCCACCTCATTTAGAGCCATTTCTTCTCGCTGCTCAGTTCCTAAATATAGTCTCACACAACAGGGGAAGAGTCTCCATTAAAGCACTGGCATAAGCCCTCGTGAAATACCATGTAGCTGTGTACTTCATTGGGCCTCCACCCCTCACGGATGCTCTCTTCCTCCTTCTCCAGGAAATCGAGGTCCTTCACATCACCGTGCAACTCTTTGCTTTGTCCTTTCGCAAGTCCGTCGCCACTGTGGAAAGTTCTGGCCTGCCAGGCATGTGTGAAATCCGCTTTGTTGCCCTCTGCGATTTGTTTCGTTTAACATTTTTATTTGTTTTATTCACACACGCCAAGGTGGCAACATGAAAAATGTCTCTGACACTGTTTTCTGACTGTAAGGCTGAGCATTCGATATATGTAGCTGCTCCAATCTGTTTGGCCATATTTGCACCCTAAGGGAAAAAAGAACATGCAATCAATACCAAGTTTCTGCAGAGCCAAAGCAAACCATACAATTACTTTTCAGCACTGTTTTCCCTACGCAATGTTTTGTGAAAACCAAAGCTAGATCTCCAACACAACAGCCAACAGCTAATTTTGCAAAATAAACAGCGCTTTGGTTCCAAGATGCATTACACAAGTATCCAAGCATTATCTCCTATGCTGATAAACACAAACTGGAAGAGAAAAGATAAGCTCAGAGACCTGCAAACAACTGCAGAAAGCCAGAAGAGTATTAGTAGGACCTATTTAGCAATGCTACCCTTAACACCTTAATTCGCATCTGTGAAATCACGTGCTTACTGGGAAAGGTCTGGACCTGGCAGCTTCCAGATTTAAGCCCGCTATCTCCAAAGAGAAAATGTATTCTGACTGCCTTACGGGGTAGCCAGCGTGCCCCTGACCTGGAGCGGAGCCGTGTTACATCTCCACCAAGGGGGCAAAGTTCATCGGGAAATGCGCTGTGGGTTTCTGGGCTGGGGATAGTTAGATCAACTTGTAGCCAAGGAATGGGAAGAAAAAAAATAATGGTTATACGAGCCCTTCTTTTGTGATTTTACGTGCATTAAAAATCAAAGCGGGGATATTTGTTCCAGCAGCGCAAGAAAAACAACAAGCAACTCTGGCAGGCAACAATACCCCAGTATCCTGATGTGGATTTTGCTACAGGAAACCAATACAGCATTGCATGAAAAAAACTGAGTTGTTTCAATGGAATTTTACTTCGGAGGGATGAATCTTTTTAATAAGCTATGAAATCCAGCCACATCCTCGATGTGTCACACCTCACGCATCCGCGGGCCTGAGATACAGGCACAGGTCAGTCCAACCCCTCCTCTTTGCTCTGGTGCCGGGCTGATGGCACTACTCATTTGGATCCACAACCTTTGTATATACTATTTACACTGCAGTGATGCAGCCATCTTCTTATCAATTGTAAGTAAGTGGGAGTAGCTGATAAAGGAGTATTAGTTTGTAGGACAAGCACTCCCCACAGTTAAACATCTCAACTCCACTAACCCAGCCTAGCCTACACCTTAGAGCCTCAATGTTTGCTCAGGTGTAGCTGACTGGAAACTGGCGAGCATACTGGAGACAGGCTTTATCCTCCCAATGCTTCCTTGTGAAGTTCAGAGGAATGGAAAAACCCCGCTAAGCTCTTTGATCCCATGTCAACTTAGCAAGGCAAGGGAAATTGAAAATAAGCTGTCTAACTCTACCCCAGAGGATGCTTCCCTAGAACTAGAGCTGGAGAGCAGTGGGGTGCTTCATGCCACCGCTGGGCTCTGGCCACCGCAAGAGAATAAAAGCATTACTCAGGGTAAGTTTTCACTTTATGTAGAGCGCAGGTGAAATCGTGAGTTTGCTGAAGTACAGGCTTCCCTCTAACATGTGCAATTTTCCCTTTGGCTGAAAGTAGTAGCTTCTGCCTCAGGCTTTTGTCTTCATCTGAGTCCTGCTCCTACGGGGCACAGGCTACGCTGTGACACCACAAAAGATGTGAATCTCCCACACCAGAGGACAAATCCTCTGGTCAGAACATTTTTAATCACTAGGGAAAAGGGTCATACTTGGTGATTTTATTGAAGTACTGTACAAAACGTAATATACAAACTTGTATACGCAGTATGTGGCAGACAGTATTTCCTTTTAAGTTTAATATTCAAAGAAAAACAGCATGGAAAATTACACCTCTGAGGCTGCACAACACCAATATATACACATGCACCAGGGGTAGCTTGTAACCAAGATGACATCTTCTGCAACAAGCAGGGTTTAAGGACACTTCTGAATTGTTTTACACAAAGGTAAAAAACTGGCATTCAGTTTCATACAAAATTGTCTGAGATGGAGGTATTTTTACTGAGTGAAGCGTAGAAAAATCAGCATAGCCATCAGAGTACAACACCCCATGTTCTATTTTAATCAAGATACTTAGTTTATGGTATCTTTGCATTTTCCAATTTAAGCATGCTGTGGGAGGCTCCATTATTAGTAATCGCATATTAGGAGCTGTTGGTTTGGAAAACCTGAGGTTGTGGATAAAACATCAAAACCTGTTTGATAGCACAGGACATACACACTAGCTGAAGTTTCTTCTGGAGGTACCATTCTCACTCTGCAGGGTGTAAGAGTGAGAATGGTACCTCCAACCACCACTGTGATTCAGCTGCAGTGCATGATACACACCTGTGAGTAATAAGGGGAAAATTACCTTCCAGCCCAGTTTTCCCCTGCTCTCTACCTCCTGCTCTCCCATGGCCTGCTTCCTTTCCCTTTCACCTTGGCTTCTCTATCCCCTGATGCCTGGCTCCACACTACTCACTTCCCCAGCAGCACAGAACTGCTGCCGAGAATTAAGATGCTTTCTGGATTTGCTGCCACCTTCAGAGGGAGCTACAAGGTGTTTTCACAGGTGTTTTAAGGCAACAGGATTTTAAAGGAGACACATTATATGCAATACTTGTCATGACGCTAAGGTCAAATGAATGACATTCAAGTCTGAAGACAACAATTTTACCAATTTGTCAATAAACAAACAGGACATGTCACCTCTCAATTACTGTTTTGACATCTGCAGGCCCAGAAAAGCTGTAAGTTTCTTTTCAATTCACTTAAAAGGCTCTTTGCAATCACTAAGGCTACAATCTTACGATGCTTAAAGCATGTGTTGTGGGGCTGAATGATTTTCTGCCGCACCCAGTCTGTGAGTAGGCTTTGCCTTGACTCATAATAGTTTTCAAATTTACCTCCAGCAACTACTAGAGAATGTGCATCTGGCTTCTAGAATGCATGTGTCAACGGAGGGGGGGGAAGAAGTTGTTCATAAAGATGGCTACAGTGATAGAAAAGAGCCTTATCTTCCACCCCTAAGTACAACAAAGGATGTGGCACATACCTGATCATAGGACACAGGCGTCTGCCTGTGGTTGGAAAGTTCCACTAGCGTGCTTACATCTGTGCGCAGATCCGACTTGCAACCAACCAAAAGCATTTTGGTGTTCGGACAGAACTCCTGGATTTCACCTTTCCACTGCAAAAATTTAGATTGTTATTATACTCGAGTAGATGAATGTTTAAATCCAAAGTAGCAATAGATACAGGATGAAGTTTAATGGGTCATGACATTTTATGTGGAAATATTCTTATGTAATAGTTATATCTACCTTCAAGCTAATTTCTAAAGGCATTGGTTCCAGCAGATTCTGGTCAAGGATGGAATCTGACTGTCTCGTACACTCATTAATTCCACTGACTTACAAATCAAGAGGGAATGAATTGAGATTGTTTACCTACATGAGTAAAGGTTTGCAGACCTGTCGCTCCTGACAAGCGGTAAACACCCTGCCATAACCATCTGCAGACAGGAACCAATGGAACCTGGTGTCCCCACATTCAGTGGTTCCTCAAGATGCAGACAGAGGCGGGTCTTGTATGACCACAAAATAAATGTTGTTATATATTGGCTCATGGCTACATCCTCGCACCTAAAACTACACAAATCTGCCAAGGGTTCAGCTAACATGAACCAGTAACAAGTCCTTCAAACAGAACCTGTGATATATTCCTTGGTTTCCTTCCCCTTCTTACATAGTTATTTTTAGAACACAAGCCAAGAATTTCGCAGCATAATCTGGGCAGATCATACAAACCCTAACACTTAAGGATATCATTTAGGTTTAAAAGCATATTGAGGAAAATCTCTTACAGAATTAAGCAATAGTAGAGGAACGAACATCATCAGGGACAGAAAACAAATAGACAGCTCTAGATGCTTGTTGGCACAGTTAGCAGCTGGGAGAATGGTCTTAAGTATTTTCTGTAGACTATTCAGGGCATTGTATGCCACTTTATTCCCAGTGACACAAGAATCACTGGCCCCAGCTACAGAAAAAAGGAACTTCAGGTCATTAAGCCTTAAAGAAAACACTGCAAAGCTGAGTCATACCCCGTGATCAAGGAAAGGACCACGACCACCTTGCAAACACAGAGCTTGATTATCAAAAGTCTATGTTTTAACTCGGGGAAAGCCTGGCGCTGAATCTCAGATCACTGAGCTTGTGAAAAACTCTGAAGTTTGGTGCAGGATTGCATTCCTATGCCACTGCTAGGTCTTCTGGTGGCTTCCAGAGGCATTTGTCACTGTCTCCTTCTAACTTCAGGCTGAGAAATTATGTAGAGCCGTGGCAAAAGTCCAAACACTTGGCAGGCACGTTTTAACCGTCTTTGCAACATGGCAAAGTTTCTCAATCCTGTCTGTTACATGAATATAACGTGAGAGACAGCTTCTTGCTGCACCCAGCCCTGCACCTCACGCCACCCTGAACAATTCACTGCTGTCTAAGGGCTGAGGAATGAGAATTTACTTCACCCCTCAGCATCCATTAGGGAGTTTTTGTTTTCAATTAACATTCATCCCTTTCAAACAAATGATCTCAAATTCTAGCAGTGCAGAGCATAGCCCTGTCATCTCGCCATTAAAAGAAACAAGCTGAAGTTCCCAATGTAGGAAACAGCACCACTCTTCAGAGATTTAAAGACAAGCTACTCAAACAGTTCCGTACTCAAATGTTTCTCAAACACTTGCCTTTTTTAGCACACTGTCGAGGGTTTCTGGCCGACTGATGTCAAAGCAAATCAGGACAGCATCAGAATCTGGATAGGAGAGCGGGCGGACATTGTCATAATAAGGAGACCCTGCAGAGATACAAACAAGATTTTTATTAGTTTGTATTTTTCACTTTCTACAGTCATTCAAGCTTATTCAGAAAGTTTAGAAAGGTTTTCAGTGAAGCTCTATAATAGCACCCAGCTACCATCTTTTCTTCGATAGCACCATATTCCCAAAACACTCGCTGCAGTTGCTCATTTCCCCACTTTTCTTTTGTTTCTCAGCTACAAAAGCAAGAGCTTTCCCAAGTAATTAAGAGTGATGGCACCCCAGTGATCCATCTCCCACCAAAAGCTCGTGATGCCCCCAATAACAAGGAAAGGGAAATCGGGTCAGCTCAAGTTTAAGTCCCAGCATTAACCTGCAGGGATCTGACTTTGAGAACAAATCCTCAACCTCCAAAAGGCTCCTTCAAAGCAGATTTGTCACAGTTGCGCTTTCATGGAAAAAAATTCAGAAAGGTTTGAAGTAAATCAGTTTTCATTCTTCTAACGTTGAATTTAAAACAAACAGTTCCAAGCGCAAAAAGCTTCTTTAGTTGTCATGGATATTGGCAATTTTTAGAAGAAACTCTTGCTTCAGATTAAAGCATTTGTTACAGCAGTCCATCAGGAAATAACCCCAGTCCTGTAGGCAAGCACACACGTTATCTGTCACAAAAAGCCTCACCAATCTGTAAACCAATATAGGCTTGCAATAAATGTTTATGTTTAGCCCATAAACTAGATTTTTATCAACGAGATCAAAGCTAATCTAGTAATCAGATGGAAGAGAAACAGGTCCGATATTGTACTTTGTGCATGTTTTACTTTCAGAGCTGTTAAGGGACATGCTGCTTTCTTTAACAATTGTCACGATGTGTAGAGTTACAAGTGTTTCTCCAGAGTCAGAAATCTCATTTTTATTATCTGGTGAACCTGGTAACAGGTCTGGGGGGAAAGAAAAAAAATCCTCCTTTTTTTCTAGGAAGTTCCAGTCACTCAGCCACCATTTGGTTTGGCCTTAACTGTGCTGAAGCTTCACTTGCTGAGGAGAACGCACTTCTGATTTAGAAAAGCACTGAAACAGTTAAGTGGTCCAAAAGGGTAAGGGTTTGGGCATTAAAGTGCATGCCTGCAACTTAAAATGCGTTTTCTCAGTCATACAGTCTTATTTCTGTATTTTTCTCTCATGAACCTAAAATACAGCAGAGAACTTACGCAACAAGAATACAGCTTTCAAGAGTTTTGGGGTTATCAGCTAATTATATCACCAATTTTCCAACTATCTAGAACTAATTGGCTGTAAGGTCTCGGAGGCTGAGCAGACTATTAACTGGATTAGAGGAATTCCTCAAGTTTTTAACTGACAGACAGCTCATGCTGTTGCACAAAGCAGAGCAGGGAATGGTGTGAACGTATCACAGATGACTTCAGTTGGACAGCTTATACGGGAAGGAAGGAGTCAAGAATCCCAGGAATGTTGTTTTTGAAATGAAGAGTAACACATGGGGAATGAAGCATTACCAAACTAGGTAGCAGAAGGTAATTTGTTGAACGAGACTATTTTGTTCAAATGCTCATCTTCATAAATGATGTCAATCTAACAAAGAGGCAGCTGTCAAAAACTGCTCTTCAAAAAACAGTTAGCTGTCTTCAGCGGTAAATGACATGTCAGAAAGAAATCTAAGCGAGTTGAGCTGACCGATAGTTAACTACTCATTTGAGCTCAGCTCTGCTAGCAGTGATTATCAATAAGCACTTCCCACCACTAATTACTCCCCAGCTATCTCCAGCACTGCTATTACAGTGCCTCCATCCTGGAGCCCCAGGGCCAAGTGATTTACCCTGGAGCCCCAGGGCCAAGTGATTTGCCCTGGACAGACGCATGGCAGAGCAGCGTGCCATTAACTAGCCACCTGCACCGCTCTGCAGCCTTAAACTGGCCAAAGCACTGCCTGCTGCCCAGCCACCAGCCTGCACACCGGTGAGAGCCGCCACCCGGCTAGCACATCTCCCTGCCGAGCTCAGGCAAGTAAGGGCAGGATGGAAGATCATTAATGCTTGGCCAAATGGTTGCTGGCTAGAAAAGAGTCTCAAAAAAGCCTCACCCAGAAACTAATTCCTTAGACACATACCTATCTTCTCACTCACCAGTCTTCAGGGATACAACATACCATATATGTCCATCAGCACGTATTTATGTATACATAGAGTCACCACCTCCAACCCTGAGACTCCTTTCTACCGAGTCAGCTGTAGCTGTGTTTGTTTTGAGGGTTTTTCTTTTTAGGTTTTCCTTCTGAACCTCTCATATTAAAGATGCTGAGCTAGAATAAGTGCACTTTTATAGGCAGTCCTTCTGCTCGGATGCAAGCTAGGAGGAATATTTGACACCTCCTTTTCTTCCGGGTAGTGTGTGGCAGAACAAACGGGAACCATTTAAACTACTCAGGCTGCAGTACCAACAAAGGAAATTTCCTGGTCTCATTCAACAGCAATAACTGAACCTTTATTACTGCGCAAATAAAGAGGGACTACGGCCCTCGCTGTGCGAGCCTATTCAATCTGGCATTTCATCGTTTCGCCCAGAGAAACCCTCAGAAGCCAGGAATCTCAGGAATGAGGCTCAAGTCTGAACAGACAACTTGAGCACAACCCAGTCAGGCTGCTGCTCACTCTTTTTCAAGTTAGTCTGCAGATCTGAAGCCATGCCAACCCTAGAAATCAGAAGGAGAATGTAGAGCTACAGCTATAGTACTGGGGGGGTGAGGGGGGGAGAGTATTTGTGTTTGTGATTCTGTTCCTACAAAATAAAACATTTAGGGACAACATGGACAATTTTTCTATTTTATCAAGGAATTGCTGATAATGCTGCAGTTCATATTTGGAGGAAGTACATTCCGGCTGCAATCCCCCTTTTTAAATCTGGCAGCTTAAATAATTTAAGCCAAAATAAGTTACATATTAAGAATGATCTACTTTTAAAACCTTATGTTTCATGCAAAGTATAACATAAGTTCAGCTTTTAAACTGAAATAAAACCCCTTCCCAGCAATATGGTTGGATTTGGTCTACAGATGATATCAAGCTTAGACTTAAATGTGGCTATCTGAATAAATAAAGTTAAAAAGTTAAAGCATACTTATTTTTTCTGATGGCTTAGTACTACTCCAAGATGCTCGATCACGGTGAGATGATGCCCTATTAGTCTGCAAGACCCAAAGCCACCACCACCACTTCCAACCAGGAGGTTCATCCCCATGTCCCACCTACGGAGCTGAACTGAACCTGGGCAGCTCCTGCTCACCATGATGCTCAGCCTCCGCTTGCCCGCGGGCCCTAAGGGAAGCCGAGCTCAGTAACAGGCAAGACTTTGCTATTTACACACCACCAAGCAGCCATCAGGCATTCGTCTTTGTAGCCTTTTGGACTCCAGTCAAGTGAAAGAACAGCAGACGAACAGCAGCATTCTCACTCCCAAACCCTTGGGCTCACTAATTATCAGCTACCTAGAAAACACATCAAACACTGCAGTGGCCGCTCTAAGTAGCCGATTCACTGCTGACGCCTTTCTTCCTTCCAAATCCACCTTGGCTGTTTTGGAGAAAATGCAGGTGATTTTGTATACTGAATATCATAGAACACTGCATCTCCAAGCACACGAATATCGCCATATTCATCACATTTTGTGTGTTTACATTTCTGCGTCTCAAAAAGACAACAGGACTTTGGTGACTTGGCACTCCCAGATATCAATTCTAGGTTTTTTCCACTCTAAAGGACAAAAAAAAACCCTATAAAGACTAGTTACCATTACACTGCCATGAAAGAAAAAAAACCCACATGGCTCAATACAGCTAATTTGCAAGTGAACTGGAAGGCAAAGACAGAAATTTGACATTTCCTTTACAATGCTCACCATCACACAGCTCAGGAAAATACTAACTTTAATTCCTGTAGGTTTCAGATGTCTTCTGAAAGATTTCAGCAAAAAGCTTTATAATTAATATCGTGTTTCTATATAGACACTGAATACATTGTGCACGTTCAAATCACAGTAAAGCTAACCTGATTTAAAGCTCTAAGGCCCTTCTGGATTTAATTATATGCTAATCCCCAGCAGTGCATAGGTATTTCTGGCCTTGTTGAGAATTTTTTATTTGTGTATCCAGTACAGTTTCCACAGTACAATCAATAAAAAACCCTAAAATACGTTTTAGGGAGACACAGGTACGAATGTCTAATTAATAGTCTGTGATTTCTGTGCCACAGCTGCTGTTGTACTACTAGCAAGAAGTAAGTATCAAAGTAGCCACTTTCAACAGAAGAAGCCAAAACCTTGGTAAAAGCACATTACATGGCTATGGTAGACAAAGATGTCTAATACACAAGTACTCTTTACAGTGTCCATGAAACTACAAGATGAAGCTTCAGCCCGAAGAAACTTCTAATACTCTACCGAGCAAAATAAGCACACAGCTCCCAAACAGCTCGAGACTGCCATACTATGTTACCACAGAGTGGAATAATTAATGGTGTAGTTAGATTGCAACCAGACATTCCTGCTTTGAAAGAAGGGTTGGTAGTCCAAAAACCAATTGAAATTCAAGTTGGCAAGTGCTTTCCTTAATGCTGTGGCTAATTTAAACCCTTATAATGACTCGCAGAACTAGACAGTACCACAAAATATTTGAATAATGAATCTTCCCATTCCACTCTTACTTGTAAGAGTGTTTTGTCCCATATTTCTATAGCCATATCCAAGATATAACAAGAACTTCCCAATAAATTTACAGCTAGCTTTAAAAGGTTCTGTCAATTGCGTGACTCCCTGCATTTTGTACTCAAATTCTCTAGTAAAAAGCACATTATTATTATATAAAGGATTGTAAACTAAAACCACGAGAGCAGGGCCAGTTCTCACCCTAACACAAGACTATTTTAACCAATGCCTACAGCTTTTCTCGTTTTCTCAGAGAGCAAATGAAATTCTCAAAGTGGCAATACCTTCCTTTTAAAGAATTCAATGCAAAAAAAGAAAATCAACATTTACTTTAATTCAAGCTATGGATTAATTTGCAAGGCAGCCTGTTGCATGCTCCCAGTTAGAAAAGTTAAAGAGGGTTAAAAATGGACAGTAAATACTGATCAAGTCATCTTGCCATCTCCAGTATACTGCAATCAAATTCAGCTAAATAGTGTCCTTCCTGCCCTCCCCAAGAGATACTGAAGGACCTCAAATGACTGGAGCTCTCACCTCCCCCCCCTCCCGCCCCCATGTTGCAATGGTCATCATCTTCCATTAGTATTTGGCAGTTAACAGTCATGTTTTTAAGTTAACTAGATCTAGTCCTGCTTTAAAAATGTCACTAAGACATTTATTCTAATTCAGCAGATGACTAGGACCAAGACTTGTGAAAAATAAATTACCAGGAATTTAAGATAATGCTAAAACACTATCTTATCTTCTGATGTCCCTTATCTGGTGATGTGATTTTGCATTGGGTTAATGGGTTTGGGTATCGTTTCTTCTCTTCTCGCAGTTGGTGAGCAGGGCTGTTTACAGAGAGACACTTCTTCACCAGCAGAGTCCCACAACCAGAGGATCCGCTGTTCAGTAATACTTTATAAGACCAAAGCATTGGCTCGTTCAAACATTTCCTCTTCAGTTGCAGACTGTAGAAAAATTAGCCACTTAATCCTAAGCTTGTGACTTTGTCAAATTTTCTGTTAGTTCCAGGACAGGCCTGAAAGGATGACATGCACAGCAAAGGCTGGCAGGTGTTTCTTCCACTGCTTTTGTCTTTTGAAGTGCTGCAGAATATTTCATTACATGGGTGTCTCCAGCCTTTGACAAACAGATTCCAAATCTTCCCGCGTCAAACAACTTGTGAACTTGTTGTATTTTAATAGATAAAGATAAAATTTTCCAAAATAACTATTAATTTTTAATAAGCCCTCACTCCACAGAGTTTGTTACAGCCAGCTTAGTAATCAGGATGAAAGCTTAAACCAGACACACTCTAGAAGCCTGCAAGTCTTACTTGGCATAAGATGAAGAAAAAAAAATCAGTTCAGAGCTACGCTGATACCGGTTGTGGGCAGAGAGACTGCCTTTTCCCAGTAATCGTGTTGCAAGAATTTGGAATCACTTCCTCAACAGCAAGAGGAAAGCCAACTCGCCGCCTAAACTCCTTCTTTTAAACAGGGATTAACATTTTCGTTTCTGGTAAAAGGACTGCTTTCGTATTTAGAAGGAACCGCTGGCTCCAAATTCAACATTAACAAGTTATCTATACACAACCTGCCTAAAGAAGAAAGGGCTTGCATACTCCGTCAAGTTCCTCCAGCTTTTTCCCAATCACTTCTGCAGAATGATGTCGATCCACGCCTGAGTTAAGGGTTCCTGGTGTCTTTCACCCCTGACCACCTCTCCCCACGCGCTCAGTTATCGAGCGGCAGAGACCACCGGCTGTCCACGCTCCTCTCCAACACTCAGGTAGCAAGTTCAGGCGTGCGTCCTCCTCACCCTGGCAGTGAGCTCAGTCCAAGTATCACCGGCAGCAGGATCTAGAGGAGTTCCTGGCCAAAAGTGAGAGCTAAGGCACCAAGAACCTCAACCTTGGAGGCATGTGTGCCCGTGTTTTTGACAAGGCCACCAGAGGCACAACTGGAAGAGCGATGAGGACCCTTCAGCACTGATCAAAGAATGGTCTGGGTTGGCAGGAACCTCTGGAGCTCATCCAGTCCAACCCCCTGCCAGAGCAGGACAGTGTCCAGGTGGATTTGGAATGTCTCCAGAGTGGGAGACTCCACAGACTCTCTGGGCAGCCTGTGCCACTGCTCTGCCACCCTCACCACCGATGATGGTATGTAGCGGGAGGTGTCCCTGACCATGGCGGGGGGGGAGTTGGAACCAGATGATCTTCAAGGTCCCTTCTGACCTAAACCATCCCGTGATTCTACGTAAGAAAGGACGGTTCCCTCTGCATCCTCAGAGGGCAGAGATGCCCACCTCCCATAGGCTTTACTGTCTTTAAAGACTAAAACACAGGAAAAAAAACAGCCTATCGCATTTTGTAAAAAAACACCACATTTTGTAAAAAAAACAAACAGGCATTAAGGAGGCCACACAGAACTCGGAGCGCAAGCTGATGTAATTTACCATTAGCATATTATAAACACCT